AGGAGAGAGAAGTCGAGGAGGCTGGTCGAGCTAAGTGCGCTGCTCAAGGCCTTTACGTTGTTCGGGCCGTTCAGATTGGAAATCATCAACCCGTCGGTTTGTCATGCAATTTCCTCTTGTCATGGTCTCACCTGGAGAAAACTATCCGTGTGTCTGCGTCCGTAGTGGGCCTTTGAAGTAAACACACACACAATCAACGATACCAACTGACCACAACAGTTGGGCAAATGAGTGGTCGAGGGGGCCATCAACCAGACCGGCTATGTTTCAGAGAGTGATTGGCGAATTTCGTAACATATACTCTTAAGAGTAAATATATTTTTACTTATAATACATATTTTTTTATAAAATATATATGATCTAAGGCGATACAAATAATCATTACTAACATGATTAACACCTAAAATTACGATGTAAATTAAACAACAAGAACAAAACAAAATCCTATCCTAATTTTCAAACTAAATAGATGTAAATGAGAAGATGAAAAAAAAAATAGAAGACCTCACTTTAAACCTTTGCCATGATAAATAGTGTGGTCGGGTGGGAGTCGATTGTGAGGACGGACAATGACATCCTCCTGGCTTGGTTGGTTAGTGATGGGTTCCCTAAACCCTTAAACGGTCCTGCCATTAACCGCACGCGCATGGTTCTCGGATAGCAAATTGGCAGCTTGGGAAAGCAGGGCGCCTCAACACTACAGACGTGCGATTTTGAGAATCTACGAGAATCTCTTCCCCTCTATCGCTGTCCAGCTGGTATCATTTAGCTTTCAGGAGATGTACGGCAGTACTACTAGGAGAAGGGTGAGTCCTGGATTCCTAACTGCCAGTATTTTAGATTTTTAGATGATATTTTACCGTGCGTCTGGTATAGTCTAGTCCCCATATAGAAGTAAATATAAGTCTTAGCACCTTATTTACGAAAAAAAATATATTTAATATTTAATGTTGAAAAATAAAACTACGTTAAAAGGCGTAAAAAATTAATCTTAAAATCAAGTTTTAAAATTTAAATCTTAATAACGACTTCTATAGTGAGTTGTGTGTCTATATTAAAAAAAATACTATACAAAGATCATATATAGATTTTTAATAAAGAAAATTCGTGCATTTATTAATGTAGCTAAGTTAGACATACATGAGTGGTTATAGGTGTAGATTGGGATACATCTAGTTTTGCAAAGAAGCCCCTTAGCAATGGAAAAAATACACTTTCGAGCTACATGTTATAGAGAAGGACTTAGGAAGAATTAAAAAAAACAATTGGGTCTTTCTTCTTCAATTGCTTGCAGTGTAAACAATGAAGTTTTGGAGCTCGATTCCAACAAAATTTGAAGCAAGGTGAGCTGCATATGATCGAATCACCGCATAATCTCAAAAGAGGCCTCACACATATGGAGGTTCAAGTAATGACATACAAATCGAAATTTCAGCCACACTACTTAGGATTTCCACATAATCATATGGCAAAGAAAGACGCAACAACAACAGTTCCTAAGATCAAGCCTAGATCTATAATACCAGCATAGTATGGTGAAGAAGCATAGAAGCTGCATAAGAAACCAAAGATTATATTTAAAAGAGGCCTTCACACATGGGAGTTTAACGTCAGTTCAGCTTGAGTCAACAACATCAGCCTCCCTATGAAGAACTTCCACCGGAGCTCAGAAAGAAGGCCTGCACCCTTGGAACGAGCTCGTCGGATATGACGGTGAAGGCCCGCGTGACCTCTTCTTGTGCAGATGTGGAAGCATCCCAGCTGACGAGTAGGACACTGTTGACGCTGCGACTTGCCGACAGGACTAAACCCGACGATGAGCCCCACAATGCCAATGGTAACGACCACCTCAAGAACCACAAGGACAAAATCTACGGGAATGACTCAGACAAATGAAAAAAATCCGACAAGACCTACTGCTACTACTACGTCTCGTCAGGGTTATTTCCGTAGTTTTGCCCTTATGGTTCAGGCCAAAAATCAATTATATAATTATTTTGACCTACCCAGATAGGTCAAACACATCTCGTCTCAATAATTAAATAATTGATCGGACCTGTTAAAGCCGAAAATACTTTTATCACGAGCTACAATTAATTTTCAACGATAAATTCTATGCACTAAAAATATTTAATTTTAAATTATTGTTGTGTTCAACTAGTCGTAAACATATAGTGTATATTAAAGTAGGAGGAAAAAAAGGAAACATGAACTGAGAAACGGGGTTATTCTTGGAGTTGGAGGGATTCTTTATGTTCTTGGGAAACGGGGACAACCCCTATTTTATTTTTAGAGGTTTTAAAATAGGGATTGTTGGTTGTTGCTAAATATGTTCTAAAAGGGACTCTCATTGTAATGAAGTATTGATAGGGACTCTAATCAGGCCTCCTATAAATCGTTATTGATTTGTCAAAATATCTCTGGAAAAGAATTGCTACTACCTGACAAAATATTGTTGGTGGTCACCATCGTCCACATCGTTGCATCTTCTGTTGCACACAGGTTTGTAGCACCAACATTACTATGCTACCAGCATGCTTGCATAGTTTTTGAGCCCTGCAGTTGCTGACACAACTAGCTATTCAGAATTTCTCAATGTACTGACGTTTTCTTTCACTGTTCCTTTTTTTTTTCATCTATTCCAGGATGGATGTTTGTGCACGAAGGGTTGGGAATTCGGAGTCAGGATGGTAGTTGGTGATCTCATGTCATCTCTTTCTCAATCATAGCAAGCATTGTTTTTAGTTAATGCTCTCATTTCTGATCTTGCAGTTACATAAATCTGGTTATTGAAATCCACTTCAATCACCAATGTGTTCGTGAGGTATGTGAAAATACTATTGTGTTTCTTGGACTTCCATCTAAGAAATTTTTTTTAGCCCTTGCATATGAAGTATCACTGTCACATATTAGGATGTCTTGCAGATTGTCTTTGGATTTTGGGACATGCAATTCATTCGCTTCCTAATCCTGATCATGCTCATGTTCACAAATTTAGGAAATCACTGTTATGCATTTGAAGGATTTTCTATACATAAATCTTAGTCTTCACTCTACACATCTATTGCCGGTTGTACAATTCTGGGAGATGATGCTTTAGAACCAATGCTTTTTAACTGCAATTGCCAAAATGCTCCCAATTATGTCCCGTAGAAAATTTAATCTTGATAAAGTTATAATGCATGCCGTAGATCTGAAATTTCAGACAAACTTCTAGAGATTTAAATTTTAAAAATTTGCAAAAACATAATGGTCACCTTGGTTTTGGAGCCGGGAGTACATTTATCACCAACATCACTAATGTTGTATTATAGTTTGTTTAAGATATCTAAAAAATTTCTCCTAATTATCTACACCATGTATCTGAAGCTTTTATTGCAGAAGGTTCAACAACTTATTACATTTTATGTGCCATGGGATATTGGGATATTTCTCCATTTTTACACTTGAAGCAAATTTTTTGTGTTTGTTTTATCAGGTACATAAAATAGATAGAAAGAGAATAGAACATTAAGAAACTTGCCTGGAGCAATGCCCCTGCCAGTCCACTCCATCACACTGTTTAATTTTTTATTACTGAGTGTTAGCTATCCCTGTGTTCCTTATTACTAAATGCTAATACATAGACTTAATTTCAGTTGTTGAACTCCTTTCCAACAGCCTATCTGTTCACAACAAGGAATACTAGGTGCAAAGAAGACTACCTAGGACATGTTTAGGATTCTATTGCCTTCTTAGTCCAACTAGGTAATTTTCATTGGGAATCATGTGACTTTCTACAGCTTACACCAAGGTAATTAAACTTCAGTGTCATTGCACTTGTGAAGTTCATTTCATTGCTTTCTTGGTTTTAATTCCCGCCATCACATTTTATACATTTAGTTAGGAACGAAGCAATGACTATCACTTTTTTGTTTGTTTCTATATTTATGCAACCGTGGATATCAACTAACCAAGTTGTGGTATCTTATATTACTACTTTTAGAGCTGATGATGACCTACAACTGATATCATGAATTTGTGACTCAATTATATTGATGTCCCTAACTTTTTTTAATGTTCTTGAATTGATTCTCTAGGAATTTCATGAACTCAGTAACTAAAAGGTAATTCAGAGCAGTTATTTATATGTCCTCAAATTTTATCATTTGGCTGTAGAATATGAATTTGTTCCACAGGACGAAATGCATGGTATAATCTGAGATGTTCTGCACTAACAGCCGTGCCAGTGTCACCTAATTATCTGTCGTTTATTTTATATTGTTAGCAGTTAAAAGAATTGATTAAGCCATCATTTGATATGATTTTTTTTCAATTCAAAATTTTAATAAGTGAGCAATCTAAAGGGCAGAAGCATACTCACAAATTTCAAATCCGATAATGGAATATCTGTGGTTTTCAGTTCTTTTATTTTATAAAGTTAGAATCCACGTATAACAGACCTTTAGGCTCTTTTATCGTAGCAATTGTCTCTTACTCTGATGCTCATGCATGTAAGAGCATGTGACATTATCAAGTTTTTGCTTTTGTAACACTAACAAAACCATGTTCCAGTTTACATTCAAATCGGTGAATGTATTGATTGGATTTGCGTGTTCATTGTTGAGTTTGTAGTGAATATTGAAGAAATCTGTTGATCAAAAGATTTTATGTTTATGTTGTAAAATGGAAATAAAAAAATGTGTTCTATTTCTTTACTATTATTTTAATAAAAACAGAAGTGAACGAGGTGGTTTTTTAAAATGCGAATACTAAGATTTGAAAAACGTGTCTTGCATACTAGTATGTTCTATAAGGGACTCTCATTGTAATGAAGTATTGATAGGGACTCTAATCAGGCCTCCTATAAATCGTTATTGATTTGTCAAAATATCTCTGGAAAAGAATTACTACTACCTGCCGGCGATCACAACACCGATTTGGACAGGTTTTATTGTTTGAGCACGACGCGAAATCTAACAAAAGCTGCTCCACACGAACACTGCTTGTAGAAAATGACGATAAATTCACAGGCTCACAGTGCAGTGGCCCATCTCTTTGGACGGAGAGGGCCACCGGAGACAGGAAGGCAGAAAGAAAAAATGGCGATAGGATGGCATAGGTCACAGAGCCTGGCGTCTGCAGGGCTCGGGCTGCACGTCCTCCTCTGCTCGTCGTTGCTGCTCAACGCCGTCTTCATCGCGCACCAATTCCTCGGGGCCTCACCGCCGGCAACGCCGGAGCGGCTCGGCGACGGGCTGAGCTGGGCACTGCAGGCGGCCAAGGAGGCCGAGGACGTGGCCGCCGTCGACTGCTCCGGCCACGGGAGCGTGTTCCTGGATGGCGTCACCGGCGAGGACGGGCGGCCCGGGTGCGAGTGCAACAGCTGCTTCTCCGGTCCGGACTGCTCCGTCCGAATCCCCAACTGCGCCGCCGACGGTCAAGGGTAATGACTGGCCTCTCCTCGCTTGCTCGTGCTCTTGCGCGCTGCTCCACAACGCCTTGCATGCACGCAGCTTCCCTCCTCTTTGTCTTTGGTGTGAAATACTTTTGAACTCTCGAGGGTATCGAGGACAGTTTGCACTTACATCACTCAAATAGTTATAAAAAAATCATAAAAATATCTAACACTGGTACAATATACATATAACGCTTCATCACAAAATTTAAACATAAACTCAACTCACACATAAAAAAAAGAGAGAAATTTCAACGTACAAACAATATAGTACTATTAATCTCTAAATTTGTCTTTTTTAAAAAAAACTACAAGTTAAACTTGAAATTGATTTTTGCTGAAGTGATAGATGTTACTATTTGTCTGTCCTATGTTATAAAAAAATAGATTTTTTTGGGAGTAGCTATATTTATGGCGCCATATTTTTCACCAAAAAATAGTCGGTATATTTTTACATTGTAAGTCATTAAATTACATATATAATTTTAGTGTATTTACAATGTAAGTCTCAAAATTACATATGTAAGTTCTAAAATTACATACTAATTACATATCTAAGTGGTGTGTAACTACCGTGTAAATTTGTATAAAATATGAAAAGTGACATATTCGTTGCAAGAAAACTGTCGGTTAAGATATAGCAATTCCGTATATAAAACCAACCGGAAGATCGGGTGGATACGGTTGCCGCAGCGTTTGCATGCGAACGAATCTAACAGACTTGAAAACCGACTGAGATTAGTGAAAAAAACTGTCGCCATCTTTATAGCAATTCCGTTTTTTTTTCACAACCATTAGTGTCCTGTCCTGATGGTGTGTTGTTGTTGCAATGGCTCTGTGCAGCGGGGACCCGTTGTTCCTGGAGCCGTATTGGAAGCGCCACGCCGCGGCCAGCGCCGTGGTGTTCTCCGGGTGGCATCGCTTGAGCTACATCACCACCGATGGCCACTTAAAGTCCGTTGAGCTCGATCGCCAGATCCGGCGGCTCCACAGGGCCGTCGGCAACGCGGTCGTCGACGACAAGTACTTGGTCTTCGGGACCGGCTCCACCCACCTGATCAACGCGCTGGTGTACGCGCTCTCCCCGGAAGGCAACGCCGCCTCGCCGCCGGCCAGCGTCGTCGCCACCGTGCCGTATTTCGCGGTCCGTGATCCCAACACCACTTCACGATGACACATCCTACGAGCATCTATACGCGACTTCACTAACTAGTTGTGTTGATCGATGATATGTATGTAGATGTACAAGTCACAGACCGTCATGTTCGACGGCCGGGAGTACAGATGGGACGGGACAACCGCTGCGTGGGCAAACAACAACAGCTCACGGAACCCCACCAGGGGTTTCATTGAGTTCGTCACCTCGCCGAACAACCCCGACAGCACGTTGCACGAGCCCATCCTCGCCGGCTCGTCGGCGATCGTCGACCACGCGTACTACTGGCCTCACCTGACGCACATCCCGGCGCCCGCCGACGAGGACGTCATGCTCTTCACCACGTCCAAGCTCTCCGGCCACGCCGGCAGCAGATTCGGGTACACACGGGCCACAGAGTTCCCAGCTGCATGCCATTTGCAAGCAAGACACGTACACAACGACACCAAAGCTGATCGATATACGCCGTGCCGTGCATTACGCAGGTGGGCGCTGGTAAGGGACGAGAAGGTCGCGAGCAGGGCGATATCCTACATCGAGGAGAGCACCGTGGGCACGTCCCGGGAGACCCAGCTCCGGGTGCTGAAGATCCTCAAGGTGATACTGGCCAACCTGCACGGCAAGGAGGACATCTTCGCCTTCGGCTACGACGTGATGAGCAGCCGATGGCGAAGGCTCAACGCCGTCGTGTCGCGGTCCACCCGGATCTCGCTGCAGAAGATGCCACCGCAGTACTGCACTTACTTCAACCGGATCAAAGAACCATCGCCAGGTTAAAACGGCACATTATCTCTGCAGATCATGGCATTTCAATTTCTCTCGCTACCTCTCAATCGAATTCTTTAAGGTGATGCGATGGCGTGTTTGGTCTACCCTGATCTGCAGCCTACGCTTGGGTGAAATGCGAGTGGGTGGAAGACGACGACTGCTACGAGACGCTGCTGGCGGCGGGGATCAACTCGCTTACCGGCACTGTTAACGAGGCCGGCACTCGGTACACGCGGCTGAGCCTCATCAAGACGCAGGACGACTTCGACATGCTCCTGGAGAGGATCACCGAATTTGTCGATGCCGAGAAGCACGGCAGAGCTCCCGCTGCCTCCAGCTCCATGTGAAAATCGTGAATTGGGACCGGGACAAAAGCTTTCGTCTAGCTGGCTTCGATGGCCACTGTGCCGGAACGATCAGCTGCTAGCTGATTGTAGGCAATAAATACAAGGCAACGTGGAAAATCAAGACTGGAATGATCAGCTACGCGTTAATCGTTCATTCGTTCGCTGTCGACCTTTCGACGGACAGGTGTAATTATGTGGATCTACACAATCAATTAGGTGGACACTATGTGATTATGTTTGCAGTGACTAATAATTGAGTATGTAAATAAATGAAGATCATACATGTTACTGATTCAGCACTCGTCATTCTTGGAATCAAAAGGGAAAAAGGGAAAATGAAAGCAGATAGAGGCACTTAGAACTGCTAAAATAATTTTAAAAACTGCGCATCCGGGGAATCGAACCCCGGTCAGTACCGTGGGAGGGTACTATGATACCACTACACCAGATGCGCTTACATTTAAATTTACCAAACATGTTCTTGATGTTAGTATAAAGTAATAACTCGTATAATATTGCACGGTAAAGCGAGCAAATTGTTGAGCTAATATATTCAGATTTGGCGAATTGGCAGCCAATTTCCAGAAAATAAAATCATCTCCTACGACATTGTCGTGCTCTGAAAATGTGAGGAGATGAAAGTGATTTATGTTCCACACAAGTCAAGCACTAGAGCAGAGCTACGAGCTAGTACTATGATAATGATACTTCTATCAGATGTAAACAGCACAATAGGTAAACTCTAATAATCAATTTTCAATCCCTACAGATTACAGATATCATATGATATTGCATACTCCGATTAGTAGCGATTCTATCATGCACGAGAAGCAACCATTTGGTTCGGCCATGACAATGTTGGTAAGACTGAGCAGTAGTGGGAGTGGATTCTAATCCCTCGAGGGGATATCTCCGCGTACATCTTTTTCTTCTAAATTCGATGCAAATAGTTGTGAAAAAATCTGAAAAAAATTGACAATGTAGAGTATAATGATACCTACTAGTCCACCAAAATTTATGTTCAAATTCGATCTACACATCGAGAAACAAAAATAAACAGTATGCTACTATTCATACGCTGAATTTGTCTTTTTTATATCTCGACGTGTGAGTTGAGTTTGGACTTAAGATTTTGTGAAGTTATATATATGTGTTGTATGAATGTTGTCAAATTTTTTCAGAATTTTTCATAACCACTTAGATAGTTTTTGAGCAAACGAGGAAACATCCCCTCGAGGGATTATAATAGTTTCCAGCAGTAGTAGCATTTTCAGAGCTTGTCGACCTTGTCGGCACTGACGACGGGATTGGCGCGGGCGATGGCATCGCGCCCGGCGCGCCCCTGTAATCGTAGCCACAGTCGTGCCTGTCCGAGTAGCGGGTGCGCGCCGCAGAACACGGCGCCGCAGCGGCACTCGAACCCCATCAGCCCCACTCTCCTCCCGCACGCAGCGCACCTGCTCTTCGTCTTCGCCCGCGGCGGCGGCGGCGGAGGCATCGCCCCCTCGTCCACGGGAATGCCCTCCGGCACGGTACCGCGCCGTGAAGCTCCGTGGACGACGATGACGACGGCGCCTGGGACATCACGGTCTGGCGGAGGCTGTCGCGGTAGCACTTGGAGCAGAGGCCGCGGGTGTTGGCAGAGCCGGAGAAGCCACAGCCGTTCGCGCACGGGAGCGGCAGCCGCTCGTCCAGCGTCTCGCTCCCCTGCTCCATCGCTCGCCCGAACGCAGAGGCTTCTCTTCCCCGGGGAGTCGACGATCGAGGTGGTTGGCAGCTGCAAGAAACGTACAGGATAACAGGAATCGGACGGGGATTCGTAGGGTCTGTACCGAACGCGACTTGGTGCCTCAAGGCCTCGGGAAGGTGGGATGATCCGAAGCAAGTTGAATATGATGTGTTTTACAAGGGAGCGCAACCGCGGGCAGTGGAATCTTCGGTTGGTGGTGCCGAGTGACTGGTGCTAGTGGCGCAGCCAGCCGTGCAGGAATGCCAATAAAATTTCTGGTTTTTGCGGGCAGCCGTTTAATCTGGATAGGATGGAGATTGTTCTTCTGGGTCTGATGGTAAACCAGTTAATTAAATCAATTTTGGGCTTCCAGGTCTACAACCATTTTTTGTGTGTGGTGAAGGTGAACAGAGCAAAAAGATTTCATTGTTAAGTTGATAGGATGGGCATCATGCTTTTATGACGATGCTATGCCGCCGTCTACTTGGAGACGTGAATCTGTCCTCTGGCCTTCGCTGCCACCTCCTCCTCCCGATCTACCCTCCTTCGGTGAGTCACTAAATAACCCACAGAGAGGGCAGGTTGCGTACATAGCGGATTCACAGAAGACGAGGAAGTCCTAGTATAGTAAAACAAAATGTCGTTGGCGTTTCGTAAAAAGAATGACGTTGGCAAAAAATAGAGATCACGGATGAGGTTAAATGCGCCAAGTTCATCCTAACCGAGCACGTGAATAAACTCTATTCATATGGTGTTATCTTAACTACTGTAATAAAGAACTAAAACACCCTTAGAGCAATGTCACCCCCATAAAAAAGGTCCAGGGTAGTGATATAATTTCCCGTCCCATATGAATAAAAAAGAGTTCATAAGAGGCAAAAGGGAAGGGTTCTCCATCCATTCTCTCCATCTCCACTACTATCACACATGTCAGATCTAAAGAGAGAATGGTGTCAAACTCATTCTCATATGCACAAAAACACATTTGAATGTTTTTGAGTAATTTCGTTTTTGCGACGCACAAACTTTTCGGTGAGCCGACCAACGACTTATGTAAAAAAATTGCAACCAATGGTGCCAAACATATTTCCATTGATCCATCCATTTGTCAGTTTGTCACCCTCACCACCAAGCACCACCGAGCTCCAAGGCCCCACCACCGCCCATCACCACATGTAGGGATGCAAGCGGGGTAGGCAAGCGGGTTTTTTTAGCCCGCTTATCTCACTTCTAGTTCATTTTTTCTTCTAAATATTGTACTATCATATAAGAAATGAACTAGTAAACGGGTTTTTATGCGGGTAGTGGGACTACCTACTTGCATCCCTAGCCACAACCCAACGTCGTCCGCTCCACCATCAAGCATGCCCCTGCCGCTGAGCACCATCTTCCCGTCGCTATGTGCTTCCCCAGCCCGACACCGCTTTGTCGGTTGTCACTGCCCTTACCGCCACCGAGCGCCGCCCCTCGCCACCTCATTAGCGAACTCCGAGGGGAGCCACCGCTCTCGAAGTCAATTGGTAGAGAGTATGATGGCAAAGTAGCAGCAGGGATTGCTCTCGAAGTCAATTGGTAGATAAGCAAATTTTGATTCGTTGTACATGATGTAAATACTTTGTAATGCTCTCGTAGAGGGTGCAGATGGCTCCCGAGTCGGGACAGTGGGGACGCAGAGGCGCCCGATGGCGAGTGCATAGGCGCGCAACGGCAGGGGCAGTAACGCACGGTGTTGGGGGCGCAGGTGCTTGGCGGTAGGTGGCGACACTCGGTGTTGGGACGGCAACGCATGGGCCAAACAATGGATGGATCGATCGACCCTATCTCCTCTCTCTTCTCTCTCTTTGGATCTGATATGTGGGGCTAGCTAGGGGCAAAAATGTCTCCAAAACTGAGAAAAATAATGAAATGGAAAAGAAAACCAAGAACTAGAGAAAAGGAGGAGAAAGTGGGTGCTTCTAATACTGTAATACATGGTCGATCGCTGAACGCGACCAGCTCGCCCCCCTCGCTGGCCTGTAGCACGCGGGCCCACGTGCAGTAAAAATATACCAAAAAAGAAAGGAAATTATTTTAAACCAGAAATATAATATTTCTGTTTTCCACTGACGCATTTTCAGGTGAACATCCACGTGCTTATTTTTCTTTTTAGTTTTAGATATACTTTGTTTGTATTGGTTTATGTCAGTCTGTTACCCAACATATCCCTAATAAGCACATCTAGTTGCTTCATATTTTTTTTATTGGTTTTGGGTGACTTCAAATCCTATTGTAAGTAGGAACTTTTAACGTACAAACTTCACATGTATAAACTTTATACGTAGAAATTTTGTACACATGAACTTTGGCCTATAAATTTTATGTATATAAAATTTAGATATAAAAAGTTTCTATACATGAATTTCAAACGAATTAAAAAAATCAAAAAGGGCCAAAAACATGTTGGCAATAGCAAAAAAAACTCCGATCAAACACCTTGCTGGCAGACTGTTCACGCCCGGCACGGCAAGAACTGCAGCGGCAACAACGAACAGAGCAGCAAACAGAGCAGAGGAGAAGTTTCAGAGAAAGAATTCTTGCGAGAATGTATGGGGCAATTTTTTCTGGGTTTTTCTCATTCAACTGAATGTAAACCTTACAAAAAGAATAAAGAGCTAAGAGAACTACTTATACTCAACGCAAAAAAAATAGGAATCCGAGGCAAAATCGCGCCATCCCACGATCCGCTTTTCTCTGAACTCCATGCACACACCCACGCCACTGCCAGCGCTAGACTCGGTCACGATTAACTGATTCGCGACTTATTTGCATCTCTAACAAACTCCTGCTAGACTAATTCATCCTCCCGTTCAGCTCCGAGAGAATCGGCTTGCATTGGGCCACAGCTGAAATTAATCAACAATCTCCCCCTTAATTCTGCCGTGGCCCTAGTGAACGAACACCAAGAAGGTGTCTCGCCGTCGCCAGCTTCGCCGCCGGCAATCCTTTCGTCAGTGCATCCGCCCGCTGCTCCTCAGTCCGGACGAACTCCACAACAATTTGCCCGCCATCCACACACTCCCGTATGAAGTGATAACGGGTGTCAATATGCTTACTTCTCCCATGAAACACCGGGTTCTTCATCAATGCAATTGCTGACCTATTGTCGACGAAGAGCTTCACTGCTTTCTCCTCCACTCCCGCCACTTCTGCTAGCAACACTCTTAACCAGAGCGCTTGACAGGCCGCCGTCGTGGCTGCCATGAACTCGGCTTCACACGACGATAGTGCCACAGTTTTCTGCTTTTGCGAGCTCCACGCCACCAGACTCTGATTGATGTAGAACGCCATTCCACCAGTGCTGCGCCGATCATCCAAGTCCCCGGCGAGGTCACTGTCAGTATACCCTGTAATCTTCAGTGCCCTAGTGCCTGCAGCATACACGAGACCATAATCCATCGTTCCCTTGATGTATCTGAGAATTTGCTTCACAGCCTTGAAATGCATCACGGTTGGCCTCTCCATGAACCTGCTTGCCACCCCGACAACATATGACAGATCCGGCCTCGTGTGAAGCAAATACCGAAGACTACC